ATCATTGCAGCCAGTGGGGGGGGGCAGTAGGGCATGGGGGTCCAGTGGGGAGCAGTGTATGGGCAGGTCACTGGGACATGGGGAGCAGTGGGGAAGTAATGGGATATAGGGATAGTGGGGCATAAGAGGATAGGGAGCAGTGGGGCATGGAGGGGCAATGAAAGGGTGTCAAAGGGCCCAGTGCGGGGACAGTGGGGTATGAGGGCTAGTGAGTTGGGGGCAGTGGGGGGGGGTCAGTGAGGCATGGGAAGTAGTTGGGGAGTCAGTGGGGCATAATGGGCAAGGCTCAGCAGACAAGGCCTGGTGCTCTGAGCCTGACCCTGATGCCCCGCTTTGCTCCTCTATCCCTATGGCTGCAGGGGAGGAACCGGTGCGGCGCCACCGCAAGGGCCCGGCGCCTAAGATGCTGGGCACAGAGCGGTGCAGTGTATGCGGGGACAAAGCCTCAGGCTTCCACTACAATGTGCTGAGCTGTGAGGGCTGCAAGGGCTTCTTTCGCCGCAGTGTCATCAAGGGGGCACAGTATGCCTGCCGTGGTGCTGGCCAATGCCACATGGACCCCTACATGCGCCGCAAATGCCAACTGTGTCGCCTTCGCAAGTGCCGCCAGGCTGGCATGCGAGAGCAGTGTGAGTGCTTGGGGCCATGGGCTGGGGACAGGCTGGGAACATGGGGGAGCTCTGGGGTAGCCAGGTAGGGAGGGGGACGGGGGGCAGAGTGGTCACAGGCTTGCAATGTGAACAGTGGAAGCCAGCCTTAGGGCACAGGTTCACAGGCACCAGTCAGGTGGATCATGCATCAGGAGTGGTACTGGTGGCTGGCAGGCAGTAAACCAGGCCATGGGCCCAAGAAGGCTTGTGAGGACTTGGGGATCAGAGGCGTGAGGGCATCAGGGGAACAGGCTGTGTGGATTGGGGGACCAGCAAGGGCTGATGTAGGGCATCAAGGGTCCAGCTGGCATGTGCAAGTGGTGTGAATCACATGCTGGGGCAGGGAGGGGGGCAGTGTGTGTCATGGGCTGTGGCTAGGGAGGGTGCCAGGGGGTGGGAGCTGGTTGGCTTGTGTGTGATGGGGTGGGGAGGCAGGGGCACAAGGAGAGAGAGGGGTGCGGGGGGGTCACAGGGTGTACGGGGAGGGGGCATGGTGGGGCAGCCAGCTTGTCTGGCAGTGTGGGGGCAACTAGGAGCCTGGGATCAGGCTGGGCAGGGGGTGGGGGACCTGGGACACCAGCAGGGGAGTGTTGTGTTCTGCTTTGGAGAGGGCTGAAGTGGGGTGGAGAGGGGCAGGGGTCCCCTCCAATGCCTGTACCCCAATGACCCCATTGCATGGCAGATGTCCTGTCGGAGGAGCAGCTACGGAAGAAGAAGCTGAGCCGGCAGCAGCAGCAACAAGAGGGGTGCGGGGGGGGCGAGATGCCCCGGGTGCCCCCGCTGCTCCCAGACCCTGTGCTGGGGCTGCCTGAGCCTGCCCAGCTCACACAGCAGCAGGAGCGCATGATCCAGCAGCTGGTGGCAGTTCAGCAGCAGTGCAACAAGCGCTCCTTCAGTGATCAG